GTCTGGGTAAGAGTGTCCTTTCGCCGGAGTGGCCTCTGGTGCGGGCCCAATTGGGGGCCCCCCGATCGCCGAACGCGATGCCCACAGCAGCGCAGCGGCTGGCGCGCTTGCTTTGGGCCCCCGCGCGCCCCCCCAGCAGCCGCGCACACCCGAGGTCGCTCTTGCCCAGGGCCGCCTCTGCGTGCAGCGGGGAGCTCGTGATATCGTGGGAGCCGCGCGGGCCCTCTCGCGCTGCTGGCGGGTTGCCGCCGAAGGGCCGCGGGACTGTGTGTGTGTGTGTGTGGTTCAAGTGCTTGGCTCAGGTCTGGTTTAGGCATGCGCTCAAGCCTTCAGAGGCGCATACTCGAGTAGGCTTTGTCTGAGACCATTCACAGAATCGTTGAGTGAAAGATGGCGTCGCTGCTTGCTGCTGCTGCTGCTGCTGCTGCTGCTGCTGGTCTTATCGTTCATTGATCTCGTCCATTACGTGTGTGTGTGTGTGTGTGTGTGTGGCCCGCGATCCCGGGTGGGCCGCGGGAGGTCCCCCGTCAGCATCGGGGCCTCCGCCCGTGGGCGGAGCGCCTGCACCGGGCGGGCCCTGCAAGCATCCGGGGGCTGCGAGCCCTGCGCCAGGTGGACCCCCTGGGGAGGGGCCCGGGGACCGATTTTGATCGGATTTGGCTCCACCTTCCCCTCCTGACCGGCTCTCTGGGGTCACAGCCAGCTCCGGCCCCCAGCCGCCTCCAAGGTGGACCGCGGAGGGTCCCTTGTGAACAGCGGGGCCTCCCGCTCACGCCGCCCTCAGGGTCAGCAGTGGGAGCGGTACGAGGTCGTGGGGCCCCTTCTCTTGCGGCTCTCCCCCCCGCTCCAGGGGCTGATTACTACATACGAGGACGGCTGGTGGGGCGAGGACGATTCGGACCTGATGGACATGGAGGGCGTATCTATCTCACTTAGTCTTGGCTACGACGGCGCAGACACATGGGATGTGACCGGAAGCTTGATCCAAAACGGCGACACATATGTTTCAGTGGAGGCGCACTTGCACGAAGAATGGGTATCAGTGACCTCTTGGGCCAATGAGGAAATCGGGGATCTGATGGGCGCGGGGTTCATGTACGAGTACGTCAACGCCAGCATACCGACTTCCGACTCCAGCGACATGTGGGAGATCAGCTATCCAGATGTGCTGCCGCGCGAAGCCGCCACCGCGCTTCGTGGGCCGCCAGGGGGCGGTGCGGGGCTTGGGGGCGTGGGGTTGAGGCCGAGCAAGGGAATTCCAGGGACCTCCTTACCCGGAGTTTCATTCTCGGCGCTTTTTTTTTGCAGGGAGGGCGAAACGCAGGAGCCTGGCGCCAGAAAGGACCCCACGTCGGGCTCCCTGCGTCGGGGGCGCAGTTTTTTGGGTTTCGCGCGGCGCGGAACTGGCGAGAGAGAGAGGTGCCCGACAGACGCACCAACCGCCGAAGGCGTGGTGGCGGACGTCCAGACCAGCGACTTCATCGAGACCACCAATCTCACCTGGCACACGGATGACAGCGCTGGAGAGTCCAGTTTTTCTGTCAAGTCGTACGCGATGGAACTGGACTCGGCGGCGCGCAAAAGGGTATGGCGCCACGGGGTCGGCCTTCAGCGAAGGCAGGGTGTTTCGCAGAAGGGATCGGAGCCCCGTCGGAAAGCTTTGCATAAGTCAGAAAGACAATTCTCGAGTTGGGCGGATGCGGTTGGGAGACGTGATCAGACCATCACCACTATCGAGCGTGTGGAAGGTGTTGATTACACATTCGTACCCTGTATCTTCCCACCCCCATCCTCCCAACACGATAATGGTCTTTCTCAAGAGGGCGGGATGGCTTTCGAGAGCCCCCCTGCCTTCTCGGGAGGTCGCCGCCCTCGCCCACAGACCAGGGCGCTCCAAGCAGCTCTGTCTGGACCCGCCCCTGGGGGCCGCCCTGGCATCAGGAAGGTGTTTGGGAGGTTTGTGGGAAAAAAACATTCCTGGAACAAGTCTTTGGCAGGTTTGTTCTGGACAAATCTTCCTGGAACCTTCCTAAAACCGTCCTCGGGAAGGTTTTTGTTGGGAAGGTTTTTGGGGGAAACCTTCCTGAAACCTTCCTAAAACCTTCCTCGGGAAGTGTTCGAGGCGTCCGGTGGTGGCGCGCGAAGGGCCCGACCAGATGCAGGTGTGCGTGCCGCAGGTCGGGTTGGGACGGAGGAGGGGAGCTCCCCACGGGGGCCACGGGGCGTGCGAGGGGTGTGCCGAGATGGGCGGGGAGCTGCCTGTGGACGCACCCTTCTGGGGCCTCGAGGTGGAGCTCCCCGCGGGGCCACTGGACGCGCGCACTGGGGCCTTGATGTGGAGCTTCCCATGGGGCCACGGGGCGTGTGAGGGGTGTGCCGAGATGGGCGGGGAGCTGTGTGCGGACGCACCCACGGGTGCCTTGAGGTGGAGTTCTCTATGGGGCCACGGGGCGCGCGAGGGGTGTGCCGGGATGGGCGGGGAGCCGCCTGTGGACGCACGCTCTGGGGCCGAGGAGAAGGTGGAGGAGGAGGAGGAGGAGGAGGAGGAGGGAGGAGGAGGAGGAGGAGGAGGAGGAGGAGGAGGAGGAGGAGGAGGAGGAGGAGGAGGAGGAGGAGGCAGCAGGAGAGGAGGAGGAGGAGGAGGAGGAGGAAAGAGGAGGAAGCAGGAGGAGAAGGAGGGGGAAAGGAGGAGGGGGAAGGAGGAGGAGGAGGCGGCGGAGGAGGAGGAGGAGGAGGAGGAGGAGGAGGAAGGAGGAGGAGGGGGACGACGCTGAGGTTGTTGGTCTTGGTGTGGGTTAGGCGCTGGGTGAGTCAGGCGCCAGGTGAGATAGGCGCTTGGGGGCCAGGCGCCAGGTGATTTATTCCCGAGTGAGTTGGGCACCAGGAGAGTGAGGCGCCGGATGCGTTAGGCTCCTCGTGAGTCAGGAACTGGGTGAGATAGACGCTGGTGAGTCAGGCGCTGGGTAAGCTAGGCGCTGGGCGGGTGAGGGCTGGGTGTGTGTGGAGCGCCCTGTGAGTGAGGCGCAGGGTGACCGAGGTGCCGGGTGAGTTGGGCGCCGGATGAGTTCAGCAACGGGTGAAGGAGGCACCGGGTGTGCTAGGCGCTGGGCGGGTGAGGGCTGGGTGTGTGTGGAGCGCCCTGTGAGTGAGGCGCAGGGTGACCGAGGTGCCGGGTGAGTTGGGCGCCGGATGAGTTCAGCAACGGGTGAAGGAGGCACCGGGTGTGCTAGGCGCTGGGCGGGTGAGGGCTGGGTGTGTGTGGAGCGCCCTGTGAGTGAGGCGCAGGGTGACCGAGGTGCCGGGTGAGTTGGGCGCCGGATGAGTTCAGCAACGGGTGAAGGAGGCACCGGGTGTGCTAGGCGCCGGGTGAGTTAGTCACGGGGTGAGTTAGCGACCGGATGAGTCAGCGACCGGGTGAGTTAGCGATTGGCTGAGTTGGGCATTGGGTGAGTTATGCACTGGGTGAGTTAGGCATCTGTTGAGTTAGCGGCTGGGAGAGTTAGCGGCTGGGTGAGTTAGCAATAGGGTGAGTTAGCGACAGTGAATTAGGCACCGGGTGAATTTGGCACCGGGTGAGTTTGGCACAGGGTGAGTTAGGCATCGGGTGAGGTGGGTATTGGATGAGTTGAGCACTGGGTGAGTTACGCACCAGGTGAGCTAAGCAGCTAAGCAGCGAGTGAGATAGGCATTGGGTGACGTAGGCGCTGGGCGAGGTAGGCACCGGATGATTTAGGCGCCTGGTGAGTTCGGCACCGGGTGAGTTAGCGACCGGTTGAGTTAAGCACCGGGTGAGTAAAGCACTGGGTGAGTTAGACGCCGGATGAGTTAAGGCTGGGTGAGTCAAGCACCGGGTGAGTTAGGCGCTGGGTGAGTTAAGGCAAGGTGAGTTAAGCACAGGGTGAGTTAAGGCCGGGTGAGTTAAACGCTGTTTGAGTTAAGCCAGGTGAGTTCAGCACCAGGTGGGTTAGGCGCGAGTGAGTTAAGGATCGGGTGACTTCAGATTCAGGGTGAGTTAAGGATCGGGTGAACTAGCCCGGTTTCGAGCTTCTTGTTGGGCCACGAAGCGTGTGAGGGGTGTGCCGAAATGGGCGGGGAACCGCATGTGGACGCACCCGCTGGGGCCTTGAGGTGGAGCTCCCCATGGGGCCACAGCGCGTGTGAGGGGTGTGCCGAAATTGGCGGGGAGCTGCATGTTGACGCACCCACTGGGACCTTGGAGGTGGAGCTCTTGGGGTCACAGAGCGTGTGAAGGGTGTGCCGAACTGGTCGGGGAGCCGCATGTTGACGCACCCGCCACGAAACGAGTGAGGCGTGTGTGTGTGTGTGTGTGTGTGTGTGTGTGTGTGTGTGTGTGTGTGTGTGTGTGTGTGCGTGCGTGCGTGCGTGCGTGTGCGTGCGTGCGTGTGTGTGTGTGTGTGTGTGTGTGTGTGTGTGTGTGTGCTTGAACGGGAGGGGAGCCGCATGTGGACGCAACAATGGGGGCCTTGGGTGGATCCCCCGATGGGGGCCACAAAGCGCGTGAGGGGCGTGCCGAAATGGGTGGGGAGCCGCACGTGGACGCACCCGCTGGGGCCTTGAGGTGGAGCTCCTTTGGGACCATGACGCAAGGGCGCCCTCGAGGGCGCGAAGTTATTCGCGCTTCGCGCTTCGTGGTTCGGCTCCGATTCCTCCTCATCCTCCTCTTCTCCCTTGGGAGGCGGCGCGAGAGCGCGAAGTTATTCGCACTTCGCGCTTCGCGGAGCGCGAAGCGCGAAGTTGGGAGCCCTAGATGACGCGTGTGAGGAATGCGCACGCGGATGGCAGAGGCAGGGGTGGGGGGAACGAAGAACGACCAACGACATAAACACAATAGCTCGGAGGTCCGCGCGGATTTCTCGGGTCGGCGCTGGGGCCCCCTGGCGGCGCCTCAGGCGCCGCCCCTGGCGCGCGCTTAGCGCGGATCCTAGAAATCCGCGCGGACCTCCGAGTCTTTGTGTCTATGTAATTTTTCGGTTCCTTGGAGGAGGAGGGGGGAGGGAAGGACGGAAGGAGGGATGCGGGTCGCTGCTGATTCAAAACGAGGGCTCAACACCACAGGATGGTCGGAACAAAAAGCAAAGCCATCCTGGGGAGAATGCCTTTTGACCCGCGCGCCGCCACAGGACGGAGGCGTGTGGCGGTACATCCTGTCCGTCAACGCCTCGGCAGACATGACCGGCGGGCCCACTGAGTCTCCCACGCCGGCGCCACCGGCAGCGACGCTGGTCGTCTCGGGGAGCTTCAGGGCCTCCGTGGCAGCCTCCGAGGCCGAGGACTTCATCAGCAACTCCGACGTCGTGGACTGTCCCACGGGGGCAAAGACTTGCCACCGCCAAGGCCGGCTCGGGCGGCCGGCACGCCCAGGGATGCTTTTCCACGGCGCGGCGCTGGGTGTCCCAGACCCTTCCCAGGGGCGATGTTTCAGTCCCAGGCCTACTTCTGATGGTCCTGGGGCGGGGTAGTGGATCCCCAGGGGCCCCACTCGAGGAGCAGCGCGCAGCTTGAGCAGATATCATCTCGTCGGAGATGTGGGCGCGAAGATCTGGGTCCAGAGTGAGCCTGAGCTGGAGGCCAAGTTCGAGAAAGAGAAAACGGCATAAGCGTAAACTTTCCGCATGAATTTTCTTGCTCCGCGCTCCAGGGAGGGAGGTCCAGCGCAGACCCAATAAATCCGCGCGGAGGTCTGACAACTGATGTTTATCCAGTTCTATCTTCTTCTATGTTTGGTGCTTGGATGACCGCGGGGGTTGCTTGGAGGATATGGGGTTTTAAGTGGATGCTAAGGTAAGCTATCTGGCCTAGCCTAGCTTATGCGTGGGTTGCAAGTGCCCTAAGCGGCTTACGGGGGGCAGAGATCAGGGCTAAGTGAGCGGAGCCCACTTACCAGAGTTACCTTTCCCTTTCACGCCACTTAATTAGGGCATTCGTCACCCACTGACGAGCTGTATGTCAGGCCAGATGTAGTCCACCCTCCCGTCCACTTATAACCCCTCCATTCCCTCAGCAACCACGACGGTCATCAGAGCGGTGATGTGTATCTAGGGGAACAAACGATGACATAAACATAACAACTCGGAGGTCCGCGCGGATTGCTCGGATCGGGGCTGGACCCCCCTTCCTGGCGCGCGGAGCGCGCCAGGGGCGGCGCCGGAGGCGCCGCCAGGAGTCCCCAGCGCGGATCCGAGAAATCCGCGCGGACCGCCGAGTGTTCATGTTTATGTCATTCTTCGTTCCCCTAGTACAGTCGGGGCCCTGAAGAAGGAACCCTTTTCGTTGGGGAGGGGCTCCGCGTTCCTTAAGTGTTTCGCAGCTTGCCTCAGGTTTTCCTTATGTTTTCGATCGGAAAATCGAAGCTTAACTTATGGAAAAAAGGGGCCTCGTTCCTTGTTTTGGGTTCCTCAGGCCCCGACTGTATGAGTTTTTTTTTTTTTTTTTTTTTTTTTTTTTTTTTGTGTGTGTGTGTGTGTGTGTGTGTGTGTGTGTGTGTGTGTGTTTTATTTTTTTTTCTCCCAGGACTCGTTCGTGGCCTCGATCGCCACGCGGGTGGGCATGCCGGAGTCGACGGTGGCGGTGACCCTCTCGGTGTACAGCGGCCGGAGGCCGACGGCCGCAGGGGTCGGCCGAGACGACGCTTTTTTCCGCCCTCGGCTCGGGGTCGTGGAGCGCACTAGTTCTCCGAGCGGGAGGGGGAGGAGGAGGAGGAGGAGGAGGAGGAGGGGAGGAGGAGGAGGAGGAGGAGGAGGAGGAGGGAGGGAGGAGGAGGAGGAGGAGGAGGAGGAGAGGAGGCGGAGGAGGATGAGAGGAGGAGGAGGAGGAGGAGGAGGAGGAGGAGGAGGAGGAGGAGGAGGAGGAGGAGGAGGAGGAGGAGGAGGAGGAGGAGGAGGAGGAGGAGGAGGAGGAGGAGGAGAGAGGAGGAGGAGGAGGAGGAGGAGGAGGAGGAGGAGGAGGAGGAGGAGGAGGAGGAGGAGGAGGAGGAGGAGGAGGGGAGGAGAGGAGGAAGGAGGAGGAGGAGGAGGAGGAGGAGGAGGAGGAGGAGGAGGAGGAGGAGGAGGAGAGGAGGAGGAGGAGGAGGAGGAGGCGGAGGAGGAGGAGGAGGAGGAGGAGGAGGAGGAGGAGGGAGGAGGAGGGGGAGGAGGAGGAGGAGGAGGAGGAGGAGGAGGAGGAGGCGGAGGAGGAGGAGGAGGAGGCGAGGAGGAGGCGGAGGAGGAGGGGGAGGAGGAGGGGAGGAGGAGGAGGAGGAGGAGGAGGAGGAGGAGGAGGAGGAGGAGGAGGAGGAGGAGGAGGAGGAGGAGGAGGGGAGGGGAGGGGAGGGGGAGGGGGAGGGGGAGGAGGAGGAGGAGGAGGAGGAGGAGGAGAGGGAGGATCGAGGTCCGAGGCCTTTTTGGCCTTCGGGGGCCCTCCTCGTTGTCCCGGCTGGGCGCAGCCTCAAAAAAACTGTTTTGTTTTTGGACACTTGCAGGGGTCTGGGGGCCCAATATGAGTGGAATTTGGATCCCCCTCGCGTCATGACAACACTCACGACGGGAGGTTCTCAGCAATTCTCGGCCTCCAGGGGCACTTACAGGGCACCAGGACCATCAAAGCATGACTCAGGATAAAATTATCCCAGCGACGGACACAGACGTATGCACTTGCGAGTTTCGCGGCGCAGGTGATGTGCAGGGGGAGCCAGCATAAGGCGTGGAACGGGGGGAAGAGCGGGCATGCGCGGGCGGGGAGTCTTCTTGGTGTCGTGCGAGCCCCAGGCGCCGCCGTTTCGTGCCCATTTCCTCGCCAGCTCTTTCTCCCCTCCGCTTGTTTCCGTTATGCGTTGCGTTCCTTCCTGCTTGGCCCGCGATGGCCCGAGCCCCGGGCGCCGCCGTGTTGTGTCCCTTTATTCCCAACCATCCTGTGGTGTTGGGCCCTCGTTTTGAAGAGACAGCGCCCCGCGTCACTCCTCCGGCTGCCCCCTCCCCCTCATTTCCCATCCGTGCCTCTCCTCCTATCCCTGCCTCTGTTTTTTGCATGTTCATGTCGGCACACCCATCACACGGTTCGTGGCCCCATAGGGGGCCCCACCGGAGGCCCCAGTGGCAGGGTGCGCATGGCGCTGCCGCCCAAGTTCGGCACACCCCTCACACGGTTCGTGGCCCCATGGGGAGCACCACCGAAGGCCCCGGTGGCAGGGTCCGCATGGCGCCGCCGCCCCATTTTGGCACACCCCTCACATGGTTCGTGGCCCCATGTGGAGCCCCACCGAAGGCCCCGGTGGCAGGGTCCGCATGGCGTCGCCGCCCCATGTCGGCACACCCCTCACACGGTTCGTGGCCCCATAGGGAGTCCCACCGAAGGCCCCAGTGGCAGGGTCCGCATGGCGCTGCCGCGCCATTTCGGCACACCCTTCACTCATAGGGAGCTCCACCGAAGGCTCCAGTGGCAGGGTCCGCATGGCGCCGCCGCCCCATTTCGGCACACCCCTCACACGGTTCGTGGCCCCGTAAGGAGCTCCACCGAAGGCCCCAGTGGCAGGGTCCGCATGGCGCCGCCGCCCCATTTCGGCACACCCCTCACACGGTTCGTGGCCCCATAGGGAGCTCCACCGAAGGCGCCAGTGGCAGGGTCCGCGTGGCGCCGCCGCCTCATTTCGGCACACCCCTCACACGGTTCGTGGCCCCGTGAGGAGCTCCACCGAAGGCCCCCGTGGCAGGGTCCGCATGGTGCCGCCGCCCCATTTCGGCGCATCCCTCACACGGTTCGTGGCCCCATACGGAGCTCCACCGAAGGCCCCGGTGGCAGGGTCCGCATGGCGCCGCCGCCGCCGCCTCATTTCGGCACACCCCTCACACGGTTCGTGGTCCCATAGGGAGCCCCACCGACAGCCCCAGTGGCAGGGTCCGCATGGCGCTGCCGCGCCATTTCGGCACACCCCTCACTCATAGGGAGCTCCACCGAAGGCCCCAGTGGCAGGGTCCGCATGGCGCCGCCGCCCCATTTCGGCACACCCCTAACACGGTTCGTGGCCTCCAGGGGGAGCTTCACCGAAGGCCCCCGTGGCAGGGTCCGCATGGCGCCGCTGCCGCCGCCGCCTCATTTCGGCACATCCCTCACACGGTTCGTGGCCCCATAGGGAGCCCCACCGAAAGCTCCAGTGACAGGGTCCGCATGGCGCCGCCGCGCCATTTCGGCACACCCCTCACACGGTTCGTGGCCCCCATAGGGAACCCCACCGAAGGCCCCAGTGACAGGGTCCGCATGGCGTTGCCGCCTCATTTCGGCACACCTCTCACACGGTTCGTGGCCCCGTAAGGAGCTCCACCGAAGGCCCCAGTGGCAGGGTCCGCATGGCGCCGCCGCCCCATTTCGGCGCATCCCTCACACAGTTCGTGGCCCCGTAAGGAGCTCCACCGAAGGCCCGAGTGGCAGGGTCCGCATGGTGCCGCCACCCATGTCGGCGCATCCCTCACACGGTTCGTGGCTCCATAGGGAGCTCCACCGACGGCCCCAGTGCCACCGTCCACATGCGTCCCCCCCACCCACTTCGGCACACCCCTCACACGGTTCGTGGCCCCATAGGGAGCCCCACCGAAGATGAGATTCACAACTGCGTTATTCACAACTGCATCTGGACAGAGCGCTGCGCGGAACCCCCGCGACGCGCGACGGTCGCCAGGACGGAGTCCTGGCCACGCGCGTGGGTCGTCCGCGGCACGGAGCAAACCAGATAACGGCGGGCGACAACGGGCGAGGCGCTGGGCAGAGTGCGTGGGAATCGGGCAGCTCCTGGTGGCAGGGCGCAGAGGACTCCCCGCGACGCGTGCTGGTCGCCCCGAGGGGACTCCAGCGACGCGCGCGGGTCGTCAGCGGCGCGAAACCACACAAGTGGACAGTCGACAGAAGGCGAGGCTCGGGCGGGCCACGATGCAGCCGCAAACCGTATGAGTGGTGCGCCGAAATTGTTGGGGAGCCGCATTTGGACCCGCCACCGGGGCCTTGGGTGGAGCTTTCCATGGGGCTACGAAGCGTGTGGGGGTGTGCTGACATGGACGTGCGGTGGGCGGGGAGCCGCATGTGGACCCTGCCACTGGGGCCTTGGGTGAAGCTCCCCATGGGGCTACGAAGCATGTGAGGGGTGTGCCGACATGGGCATGCTGTGGCGGGGGGCCGCATGTGGACCTTGTCGCTTGGGCCTTCGATGGAGCTCCCCAGGGGGCCACGGAACGTGAGGGCGGGGTGCCGAAGCAGACGTGCTGTGGGCGGGGAGCCGCACGTGCACCCTCCCACTGGGGGGCCTTGGATGGAGCTCTCAAGGGGGCCACGAAGCGTGTGAGGGGTGTGCCGAAACAGGCGGGCTGTGGGCGCCGAGCCGCATGCGGGCCCATTGGGGGATTGGGTTGAGCTTTTCATGGGGCCACGAAGCGCGCGAGGGGTGTGCCGACATGGACATGCGGTGGGCGGGGAGCCGCATGTGGACCCTGCCACGGGGGCTTTCGGTGGATTTTCTTTTTGGGGGATCGGAGCGTGGGACTTGTGTGTCGAAATTGTTGACACGCGGAGTGTAAATGCAGAGATGGGAGGAGGGAAGGGGTGGAGGAATGCGGAGTGAGGAACGCGGGGCGCTGTTTCTCCAAAGCGAGGACCCAACACCCAGGATGGTTGGGACAAAAACCTTCACAATTTTAGCGCTCGTGGTCTGATGCACCAGTCGAGCCTTCGGTTCATGTGCCATTGTCTACCGTTTCGTCGTGAACAAGTTTTCTCGTCATGGCAACATCGAGACGGAAACTTTTCAGCAATTTTCGGCTTCCCGGGGCCCTGGGACCGTCGAAAAATGGCGCAGGATGAGAAGTCGGTCCTCTGGGAAGGGGTCCTGACTTCCGGGGGTCCACGTAATAAAGGAATCACGATGTCGGGGGTCTGAGCTTGGACCTTAGGAGGGGTCTAGAGACCGATTTTGGGTTGGGCGGGAGGGTTTCAGGGGCAGTAGGTTCAGCGGGGGGGACGCATCGGCCCCCAATCGCCCATTCCTCGGCACTGAGGGCCGGGGAGCCCACCCCGCCTAGGAGCGTGCGGGTTCGTCATCGGAGGCCGATCGCCGAGCAGTCGGCGATGTGTTGCCGATGTAAGGTCGATTTTCCTATCCCTTGGCCAGTTCCCCGCTCTCTCGGCGGTGCGCCCGGGGAGGGATCAATAGGGGGCAGGCCTTTTCAGCAGGAGGAGGGGGGGAGGGGGAGGAGGAGGAGGAGGAGGAGGAGGAGGAGGAGGAGGAGGGGGAGGAGGAGGAGGAGGAGGAGGAGGAGGAGCAGGAGAAGGAGGAGGAGGAGGAGGAGGAGGAGGAGGAGGAGGAGGAGGAGGAGGAGGAGGAGGAGGAGGAGGCTCAGAAATCTTTTCAGGAGGCCGGAGGCCTCTGAGCTTTCCGAGAAGCCTGCCCCCTCTCGCTTCCCCCCTGGACTCGCTGCTGGCTGTCCTTGACCCTCAGTTCCGCCTTTGCCGCACCGCCGTTGTCTCCTCAGCTTGCCCTCCTCCGAGGCTGGCGGCCAGAGGCGGCCGGAGGATGACGGCCGAGGCCGCCGAGATCCTGGTCTCCTACACCATCACCGCACAGGTGGGTGACGCAGGAACAGAACAGAGTTCACTGTGCCGACGTTCGCGCGTAAGCTGCCTGCATCAGATGGCCTGTAAGCGCCCTCGTTTCCAATGTCGCGTGCCGCGCTGGCGGCCCGCGTAAGCTACCACGAAGGGTCGCTGTGTCTTCTTGCATTAGACCCGTTTCTTTTCGTCGCTCAGGTGGGCTCCTCAGGGGGTGGAGGCGTTATAAGCCAGAGCGCCTTCGAAAGCATTGTGGACACCCTGGAGAGCACCACTGCCGACAACTTCGTGGCGGACTTCAACACGCAGCTTCAGGGCACTGGGTCGGCTTCTACCTTCTCGGCAGTGGCGGCGGTGCCGAACTCGGAAACGGCCCCGACGACCACGGATCAGACCCCAAGGCCGGTAAATTCTGGCGCCTACGCAGCATTCCCGCAGGCGCTACTGCTGGCTACCGTCTGCAGGCTGCTGTTCTGAGTGCGCAAGGGGGCAGGGCACCGTTTCGAGAGCCTAGCAAACGCTACTGGCATTTTCCAACCATGCGCGGAACATATTCGGCATGATGTCAGGTGAGCCGTGGCATGATTTTTTACACGAACTGGCCGCAGGTCGTACGCACCATGCACCCGGCATTGATAGGTATTTCAGGTCGATCTTTGCAAGAAGCCACAAGCGCGCCGCTCAATGGACTGTGGAGTGGCTTCGCTGTGCATGCGAGACCCCTGCGACTAACACCGTGGCAGACTTTGCATGATATACCCGCCTGGCCTCGCGACGCGCCGCCAGCTCCCCTTGGCGATTGACTGGTCGGTTGGTTGGCTGGCTGGCAGGCCTGTTGGTGGTGGCCAGACGGCTGGCCAGTCGGCTGGATGGCTGGCCTGTTTGCTCGTTTGTCGGCGGGCTCTGACTGGTTGGCTTGCTGCATCGGGGGGGGAGAGGGTGATCAGGAGAAGGCTGGGGGGGCAGCACGGGGAGGGGTGCAAACAGCAGCATATCATCACCACAGCAAATCTCTTCTGTACTCATCTGCGTACTCATCTGCACTTCACAAGGGGTAGGGGTGCCCACGAGTGAGGTGGGGACCACGGGAGGAGGCCGTCTGAGGGAACCCTTGGCAGGGGAGGGAAGGGCAGGGAATGGGAAGGGGGGAGGGAGGAGGGAACGGAAGGGACCCCCGGGCGGCGAAGGACCCAACCATATGCAGTTGTGAGCACCGTCGTTGTATGCACCGCATTCGGAGGAGCTCCCTATAGGGCCACGAAGCGTGTGAGGGGTGTGCCACATTTTGTTTGGTGGGCGCAGGCGAAAGCAGCCACCGGGGCCGTCGGTGGAATTTCCTATGGGGCCACGAAGCGCGTGAGGGGTGTGCCGCAGTGGGTGCAGTGGGCGCATGCGAACGCAGCCATTGGGGCCGTCGGTGGAGCTCGCTATGGTGCCGCGAAACGTGTGATGGGTGTGCCGAAATGGGTGTGCGTGACGCATGCGGGCGGTGGCGCTGGGGCCTTCGGTGGAGCTCCCTATGGGGCCACGAAACGTTTGAGGGGTGTGCCGGAATGGGCGTGCGTGACGCATGCGGGCGGTGGCGCTGGGTCCTTCGATGGAGCTCCCTGTGAGGCCACGAAACGTTTGAGGGGTGTGCCGACTGGGGTGTGCGTGACGCATGCGGGCAGTGGCACTGGGGCCTTCGGTGGAGCTCCTCGTGGGGCCACGAAACGTGTGAGGGGTGTGCCGAATTGGGTGTGCGTGACGCATGTGGGCGGTGGCACTGGGGCCTTCGGTGGAGCTCCCTATGGGGCCACGAAACGTGTGAGGGGTGTGCCGAAACGGGTGTGCATGACGCATGCGGGCGGTGGCCATGGGGCCTTCGGTGGAGCTCCCTATGAGGCCACGAAACGTGTGAGGGGTGTGCTGAAATGGGTGTGCGTGACGCATGCGGGCGGTGGCGCTGGGGCCTTCGGTGGAGCTCCCTATGGGGCCACGAAACGTGTGAGGGGTGCGCCGAAATGGGTGTGCGCGACGCATGCGGGCGGTGGCACTGGGGCTTTCGGTGGAGCTCCCTATGGGGCCTCGAAGCGTGTGAGGGGTGTGCCGAATTGGGTGTGCGTGACGCATGCGGGCGGTGGCATTGGGGCCTTCGGTGTAGCTCCCCGTGGGGACATGAAACGTGTGAGGGGTGTGCCGAATTGGGTGTGCGTGACGAATGTGGGCGTTGGCACTGGGGCCTTCGGTGGGGCTCCCTCTGGAGTCACGAGACGTGTGAGGGGTGTGCTGACGTGGGTGTGCGTGACGCATGCGGGCGGTGGCGCTGGGGCCTTCGGTGGAGCTCCCTATGGGGCCACGAAACGTGTGAGGGGTGTGTTGAAAGGGGTGTGCGTGACGCATGCGGGCGGTGCAGGGAGGAGGGGACGAGGAAGGAAGGACGGAGGGGCGGAAGGAGGGAGGGAACGCGGGGACCGTCTCTTCAAAACGAGGACCCAACACCACAGGATGGTTTTAGCAAAAAGGGGGTCAATGCGAACAGGAGAGTGCCCCCAGCCGGCCCAAGAGGGCCCCTAGACGGCCCAAGAAGCGCCCCAGACGGCCCAAGAGGGCCCCAGGACGGCCCCAACAGACAGGTGCGAAAGTTTCCTTCAGTTGGGCACGCGTTATTTTTCGGCGAGCCGCATCACTTGGCGAGGCGGTCTCCCTGGCGGCGGTCCAGGTCCTTTACCCTGGACGGCAGCTCGCGGCACAGGCCGTCGACGTCACAGGCGCTATTGATTTGCGCCGCGCAGGCCTTCAGCTGGGCGCGGTACGCCTCCAGGGTCTCCTCCCAGCGCCGCTTCGGGAGCGTTTTCGTGAGCCTGTCCCGTATCCACGACACAGCGGTCTCGTGGAGCATGACCTCCTGGAGCTGGCCGGGCTGCGCAGAAGCGTCCAGGTCGTGGCGCCTCAACGCCCCGCAGAACTCCTCGGTGATTGCCCTTGGGCCGGCGTTGTAGAAGCCGTTTCCACGGTCCGTGAAGAGCACGCGAGGCTGCCGGCCGCCCCCGGGAAAATGTACATTCAGAGCAGCCCGCACTTTCGCCACCATGATCTCGGCCCCCAGCGGAGTCTCTCCAGGGAAATCGTCAGGCAGCTGCTCGATTTGGAGCTTCCCGTCGGAACCATCGTGGAAACATCGTGGAACCAAGCAGGAACCCTTTGAATTCATAGGGTTTCGTCACACTTGCAACGTCGGAGCCATCGTGGAACCATCGTGGAACCAAGCAGGAACCCTTCGAGTTTATAGGGTTTCGTCACACTTGCAACGTCGGAGCTATCGTGGAACCATCGTGGAAAGAAGCAGGAACCCTGTGAATTCATACTGTTTCGTCACAGTTGCGACTTTGGAACCATCGTGGAACCAACGTGGAGCCAAGCAAGAACCCTGTGAATTCATCGGGGTTCGTCACACTTGCGACGTCGGAGCCATCGTGGAAGCATCGTGGAACCAAGCAGGAGCCCTGTGAATTCATAGGGTTTCGTCACACTCGCGACGTCGGAACCATCGTGGAACCCAGCAGGAACCCTGTGATTTTTTTTATAGGTTTTCGCGACGTGTCGACCTTTCGGAGCCATAGTGGAATGAAGCTGGAACCACCGCGGTCGGGCGCTGGACCACATAAAACGACGCGGGTTGGCGATCGCGGGTTCGCCGCCCCTGCTCCTATTCAAATATTGATTGAGGGTGGTGCGCGGCGCATCTACGCCCTTACGCCCTGGAGCAGAGGGGTACCCTTAATTCGTATTATAAGAGGGCCGCTGGGCCCCAGGCGTCCAATCCCTGGACTGCTTTCATGCTGCTCCTTCCGAAAGCCCTCGCGCACGAAACGTCTTCGATTTACCTCCGCCTGCTTCCAGCGCCCACCCGCCGCCTTCCGCCGCGAGGTCGGGCGCCTCCCCCCTCGCGCCGTCGCATTGTTCTTCAAGCTAAACGGCACAGACGCAGCCAGTCCCTGGACCGCTCCTGGAGCGCGCTCCGGCCAGAATTCCGACGCGAATCCAGCTGCGGCGAAAGGGGCCCCCCAAGGCGAGCGGCGGTCCAGCCATGCGACGTCGCATCGTGGCCTCGGCTGCCCGCGAGCCCGGCGACTCCGCGTCTTCTGCCCTGCCGCCCAGCCCTGGCCTCGTCTCCCCTCCGTGCCCGGTCCTCCCCAGGAATCAAACTCAAGGAAACAATTCGCACCTGTCTGAAGAGGGGCCCAAGAGAGGGAACACGAACCGAAAAACGTAGCTTTCCGCCCCAAGAGGCCCCAGAGGAGGTCCCAAGAGGCGCCTAGGAGTCCCCAGGAGGCCCCCAAGAGGCCCCCCACGAGGCCCCAAGAGGCCACCAAGAGGCCCAAAGGAGGCCCCAAGAGGCCCCAAAACGGCCCCCAAGAGGCCTCCAAACTGCCTCCAAGCGGCCAGTCGGAGCGCCAGATCTTGCAGGATCCTGCAAAGCCAGGTGTGCATTGACCCGGCCTTGCGTGCAGGATCTTGCAGCATCCTGCAGGATCTTGCAGGGTCGTGCGAAGCCCGAGTGACCCAGGAGCGGCCCCGCGCGCGCGAACTCGAAACATTGTTAACCAATTGCCGCAGATCTTAGCACGCCATTGGCTCGCTGGGCCGGCGAATTTTTAAGGAAAAAGGAAAGGAAGGAGGAGGAGGAGGAGGAGGAGGAGGAGGAGGAGGAGGAGAGGAGGAGGAGGGAGGAGGAGGAGGAGGAGGAGGAGGAAGGAGGGAGGAGGAGGAGGAGGAGAGAGGAGGAGGAGGAGGAGGAGGAGGAGAGGAGAGGAGGAGAGGAGGAGGAGGAGGAGGAGAGGAGGAGGAGGAGGAGGAGGAGGAGGAGGAGGAGGAGGAGGAGGGGAGGAAGGAGGAGAGGAGAGGAGGAGGGAGGAGGAGGAGGAGGAGGAGGAGGAGGAGGAGGAGGAGGAGGAGGAGGAGGAGGAGGAGGAGGAGGAGGAGGAGGAGGAGGGAGGAGGAGGAGGAGGAGGAGGAGGAGGAGGAGGATGAGAACGAGGAGCAGGAAGAGGATGATGATGATAAGGAGGAGGAGGAGGAGGAGGAGGAGGAGGAGGAGGAGGAGGAGAAGAAAGCAGCAGCGTCTCCCGCTGTGCCCGAACGAGGTCTCATGGGGGGCCGTGGCCCTGGGAGCACGAACCCATGACATGAGAGGAGGTGCGAAGCGACTCAAGTTTGGATTCAATCAAGGAGAGGGTGGGGTGGGGTGGGGGGAGGGCCTCGAGTTGTCGAGCAGCCGGTGGTTTGGAGCACTTCTCTAAAGTCGGCTTCTCGGGACTGCAGAGAGTGTCCCAAATGACCCAAGAGGGCGCCAGGATGCTCCCAGTAGGGCCCGAGAGGGCTCCAGGACGCATCCCATCCTTTCGAGTTCCCTGATGCGCCCGTTGTGAACCGCAGCACGTGCCTTATTCAAGACGTCCGTGCCAACACCCTGCGTGTTGGGTCGGCGCGGGTTGGCCCGCGTTCTGTCGAGCGCACTCACCGTGCCACGCCCGCGTTTTCAATCTGCGCGCCGAGAGCTCCGCGTCAGCACGCTGCGGGCTGTGTGGGCCGCGCACCGGGGCGGCGAAGCTCACAGACGAGCGGGGAAGCCTGGGAGCTGGCTGGCACCGCACGTGCCCCGGGACGTGCGCGGTTTGCTGGGATGTGGCTCGTCACCACCCACCAGGCCAGCCCAGCCCAACCCGAAGGGCCCAATCTGCCCTTCATTCCCAGTATGGGGGGGAGGGTGGGGAACGTGGAAACCACACATATGAAGCCCGTACCCCACCCCCCCAACCCGAAATTTAGGTCTTCGGGTTAGGTTGGGGTGGCCTGGTATATAGTTGCGCACGTGCCCCGGGACACGCGCGGTCTGCCGGTCATGCGGTTCTGGTCTGTGCCGTTAATGGTGTCCGAGTAGATGGGGTCGGAGGATGGCGCCGCATCGGCGATGCATCGGCGATGCGGCTCGATGTTGGGCCCGGTATGCTTCACGTCGACGTCGCCGATGCATCGCCGACGCCGACGAGGCATCGCAGATGCATCACAGATGCATCGCCGATCCGTCGCCGATGTACTGGCGATGCGGCGCGACCCTCCGACCCCACCTGCTCCGACCCCATCCGGGAGGCGTCCATCGGGGGCGCCGGGCCCTTGCTGGGGGTTAGGGGCGATGTCGTTCTCGAGGATGATAAGCGTGGCGCCGCCCGCATCGAAGCAGTGGCCCCAGAAGCCGAGGCGGGCGAGGTCTGGGCTTCAGTCGGGCCTGCCCCTCTGCAGGAGGGAGATTCCAGAGCAGTCCCAGAAAACAGTCGGGGGACGATGCTCCGATTCTTTTTGGCCCCTCTGAGTTTTTTTTTTTTTCGTCCAGACTCCGCCCGCAGGGGGGCATTGCCCGACCCGAGTCCGGGCGTCGGCTCGTGCCCCGGCGGGGGTGGGCCGCTGGGCGGGCGCAGCTCGACGGCCCGCGGCCGGGCGCGCCCCGCGGGGGGCCTCGGTGCGCCCAGGGCCGCGTCCCCCGGGGGCGGCCCCGGGGCGGCCGCGAGGGAGTCCCGGCTCGAGGAGGGCGGAGGGGAGTCCGGGCCTCTGGTCGGGCGCGTGCCTCTGGGCAGGAGGGGTGTGCAGAGATAGTCCACAAAGCAGTCTGGGGACGATGCTGCGTCTGCCGTGGAGCATTGTGGGGTACTTCGGGGGTCTTTTTTTAAAACTTCTTCGTCCAAGATCCCCCTGCAGGGGGACAGGCCCGACCTCAATCTAGGCTCAGGTCGGGCACGTCCCTCTACAGGAGGAGTGTGCAAAAATAGTTCAAACATAGTTTTGGGACGATTTTTTGAGTATTGTTGAACTATTTTTGAATATATGCTTTTTGTCAGTTTTTCATTTTTGGTCGAAAATCCCCCTGTAGGAGGACATGCTCGACCTGAATCTAGGCCTCCCAGATGGGGTCGAAGTAGATGCCGATGCATCGCCGATGCAGCTCGATTTGGAGGCCGTTTTTCTCCACGCCGACGTCGCCGATGCATCTCCAATTTCGCCGAGGCATCGCCGATGCATCGGCGATGTATTACCGATGTATTGGCGATGCGGCGCGATCCTCCGACCCCATCTACCCCATCTAGGAGGCCTCTAAGGAAGGGGCCTCCCTTTCGAGTTTCGCTACTCGCCAAGCCACCCCAACCCAACTCGAAGGTCCCATACTTTCCCCCCCCAATGTCGTGTGTGTGTGTGTGCTTCTCAATGTTCCAGAATGTCCCCCCACTGGGGGGCCCGGGCGCCCCGAGGGAGCGCGACTCGAGGGGATCAAAGGGAAGGGGCCTCCCTTCGTTTCTCACTACTCGCCAAGCCCCCCCAACCCAACCCGAAGGTCCCATGCACCCCCCAACATTTTTCGGGTTGGTGTGTGTGTGTGTGTGCTTCTCAATGTTCCAGAGTGTCCCCCCGCTGGAGACTGACGGGCCCAGCGGCGACTTCGGGTCGGGTTGGGGTGGTCTGGTGGGCAGTCAGACTCGATTGCGGCCTGGCTCGATTCACCTCGGGCTGTCGCGCCTGGCAGCCCGAAGATGGCCGCCAGGAGGGGAGGAAGAACTCTGAATGAGAGAGCGCTCGGCGTCACACCGACATACTACCAATATACGTGCGTCGCCCCCCCCCCCCCCCCTCCCCAGGGGAGGCGCGCGCACCGAGAAATCCCAGATACTATATGACAAGATGCTTGTACTACAAATACGTATGTTCGGCCCGAACGCTCTCCCGAGACCAACCGGGACGACTGGCCATGAGCTCCTTTGTCCGCACACGCCGACAGGCTCGGCGGACCCCTCCCGGCCCATGGGGGCTCGCCCGCCTTCCGAGCTCCGAGCATGCGAGAGACGGACAAGGCGCAAGCATGCAGACACATGGGTAGACTGAGACATTCTGAAGGTGCGCGAGCAAATGCCAGGTCGCCAAATCGCTGACGCATTCTTGCCCTGCTGCTTGGAAGCCTGCGCCGTGCAGCCTTGGGTCCCCCCAGAAAGGGGGGGGCAGCGGATGAGCTCTTCTTGGTGCATATCTTGATGTATGCATTCGCCTTCTGATGTGGCC